AAAAAAAAAAAAAAAGACAATGACTTGCACTAGTAACAGAACACTGGAAGCATCATAGAACATATGTAAACTTTATCAAAAATTCTAAGCAGTCAGTAGATAAATATGAATGTTTTATTGAATGTAAATGGTTACTCAAATGAAATAAAGCATGCTAAGATCTACAACCCAACAAAAATGGGCAAAGAATATGAAGAATTCACAGAAAAGGAAATACAAGTGTCTTAGAAACTGTATGCTTAACTCACAATAAGAGAAATGCAGCTTAAAACTATCAAATACCATTTTACACATCAAAAACTTTAACTGCACAGTGTCAGAAAGGGTGCAGGATACTCTCAAGCACTTCTAGTTGGGGGATAAATTGGTTTAACCACTAAGGAGTCTAATTCAGGGTAGGGACTGTCTGGGAGGGAGCAAAAGGGAATATTCTGGGGTGATGGGAATGCTCTATATCTTGATGGGGGTTTGGGTTAGAGCTACACGTACATACTTAACATGGCTCCATGGGTGAAGGGACAGGTATATGGACACATAAGTGAAAAGGCAAGTATAGTTAAACTGTCAGTGGTAGAATCCAGGTGATGGCAATATAGACATCCAGTATCAAACTCTTTCAACTTTACTGTTATGTTTAAAAATGTTCCTAAAAAATGTTGGAAAAAATCATCATGCCACATATGCTTTGACCCAGCAAATTCATTATCAATTTTTCCTACAGATAAATCATTACAATTGTGAAATGATATATATAGGATATTTAGGCAGCATTATTTGTAATAACAAAAAAATCAGAAATACTCTTAATGACAATTAATATTAATCTGGATAAATTGTGGTACATCCATACAATGGAGTACTATACAGTATCTGTTAAAAAAGAATAAGGTAGTTGTATAATTACTGATCTGTAAGGATAGGCTGAAAAGGGGGAAAAGAAAAATACCTTATAGTATGTACTATATGCCACAATTTGGGTGCAGGCATGCCGGGAGTGGGGGCTGCATAAGTTTATGAGTGGGGAGCATACACAATCTTTAGAAGGATACAAAGAAACGTATTACCAGAGAGAATCTGGATGGGTGAAGACAGGAGGGAAAGGACACTGAGATTTTACAATATGCCTGCTTTTATCTTTTGAGTTAGGGACAGACCATGAGCTACCTTCTTAACAGTTTGTTTTTTTTTTTTTTTAATACCAAGATGAATAGAGTTCTCCAATGTAATACCTATTATAATACCTATCATTAGGGAAAGCAAGAGGGGAAGGAAATGTTGACTTAAATTCCAAACTCAAATGAAAATGAAACCAACATAAGTAGTTTCAAGATGGATTTCTATTAGAACCTTTCCGTGAACAAAATCACAAAACAAAAGCTATCAGATTTTCATTTTATTTATCAGCGTATAGTCATGAGCAGCACGTGTAGCTCTTGTAGCATGACAGACAGTAGAGAGAGCAGGTCATTCAGCCACAACCATGTTTACAGTGTTCTAAGCCCCAACAATTTCCCACCCCAGCCATTCCCCTTCTGTCAAAGGATACATTTCTCAGTCTTCCTTTCACGGTTCTCAATACATGGAGTTAAGATGACTCCTTAAGTGAAGAGATGCCTTCAAAATGGACAGCCACCAGTTTGCCAACCACTAATTGTAGGAGCAAAAAGTAACTATTATGGAAATTTTTGTAAACAAACATGAATACTCTATATGCATCTACTATGTGTAATAGCTTTTTGGATCAATATACTTGAAACTTGAGATCAAATGGGAATTAAAAGTCTAAAGAAAAAATTTTTAATTAGTTTCTTTCCCTTCTACTCTGTGAATAAAGAGAAAGATGAATAATTTTTAAGTTCAATTGTTTACTTATGATCTTTCAAATATTTTTGAAGCTAAAGAACCATTATTTCTTTGGCTTATTTTGCTTAAGAGCTTAAATTAAACGTTTTTAATAATGGTTGTTCACTTACTAAGACTGGCCTAAATAGAAAACAAAAAAGCCACACCCACACTCACTTCCTAATTATTTTAACTATCATCTGCTTAAATAAGATTGAATGCTTTTAACCAGTGCATGTGTCGAGAGCAGAAATCACTCAGTCCTTGCCATGGAGGGCTAAGCTGGACCTTTAGAAGGAGCACGTGGCAAAGGTTGTGCACATCTACACACTGTCCTAGGGAGAGATGATTATCTTGCCTTGGGTTACCACAGAGTCTCAGAGAAACTTATCAAGCAGGTAAAGAAAACCCTGAGAACCTACAAGCCCTGTTACCCCATTTAACCTACCACACCCCACTGAGGGGTGGGTCTTACTGTTCCCAGATAAGGAAAATGAAACTTAGTGAGGTTAAATAAATTGCCTGAGATCATATTAAACTCGGTAAAAGGGGCCAGCATAATTCAAAATGAGGTCTGTTGAACTTAAAGGCCTATGTTCTCTCCATTACCAGTTCCTCTTCCTTCATACATCAACCTTAGAAAATGAAAGGTCAAACAGCTCTCATGCAGTTATAAAATAAGGCGAAGAAATTAAGTATCTAAAAATACACAGCATGCTTTTATACCAGTATGAATTTAGTAAAACATTGAGAAAGAGCTGCAGAATTTTTAACAGTGATTAACTCTGAGATTTATGGGGACAGGACAGGACTAATTTGGGGTTAGGGATATTTTTAAATAATTTAAAGTGATTATTTAAACCAGTCAGGTGTTTTGTTTTTTAAACTCTTTTCTAACAATAAACTAAATTATCTCTAAAAATCCCTTCAACCCCATGTTTCTAGTAACTTACCTTAAGGGTTGTCAACTACCAAACAGGAACGTGAGGACAAGAGCGCATGCTTGCCCAGCCACTGTGGGCCAGTGACGGCAGACTGCACTGGAAGATACCAAATGGTATCAGCGATACTCTACAGCCCTCAGAACATTAGCTGTTGGTCTTACTTGGTTTTTTAAATATAAACCTCCCTCCGAAACATTTCCAGTATTTTTGGAGGCTTTTACATTTCCACACACAAACTTCACAAAGCTATTAAGAAAATGACATTTCATGTGCTTTTTAACTTTTTAATTTTTTTTTATTGGTAGATGGAGTTGATGGGTTCATGTGCTTTTTAAATTAGAAAAGTGACTTTAGCTATCTATGTCATTTAAAATAGTTTATATAGTAAGGTTATTTTAACCTTACAAAGAATTATTCTGGATAGCAAAGTTTTCCACATAGCTAACACTTTATCTATCATTCATTTCAAAATTGTTTTAACCATTTTAGACCAAAGTCTTTAAAATATGTATTACATAACTCAATGCCTCTTCTTAAACAGTCTGTTTTACTATTTACTTTGTTCTGTGTCACAACAAAGGAATAAAATGAAATTAAAGAGTTTTTAACAGGTAAAGTGATATATTAATAAAACAGTACATAAAATTCAATAGGGTTTCAGATTCCACAATGGCAACTAACCTTCAAGAACTACTATTTGCCAAGTTCTGGTGTAGTATCAAAGAATTTCCACAATTATCTAAAGAAACTATTAAACACTCCTCCCTATTCTGACTATATGTGAATACAGATGGCCTTCATATACCTTAAGTAAAATGGTATATTGCCACAGACTGAATGCAGAAGCAGGTATGAAAATTCAGCTGTCTCCTATCAAGCCACTCACTGAAGTCTGCAAAAACGTAAAACAATGCTATTCTTCTGACTTTTATTTTGGAAAATCAGTGATTTTTAATTTTCAAAAAACACTTACGTTAATGTGTGGTAGGCAGCTTCTGATATGGCCCCCAATAATCCCAGTGATCCTCCTGGTATCCATGACCTTCATAACCCCCTCCCCAGAGTGTAGGCTGGACCTGGTGACTGGCCTCTAATGAAGAGAATTCGGAAAAAGTGAGATGATGTCACTTACATGACTATGTGACAAAAGACTGCAATTTCCTTGTCTCTTGTGCTGGGACTCTCCTGCTCTTTCTGGTGAAGTCAGCAGACAAGTTGTGAGATGCCTATGGCAAGGCCACGTGGCAAGGTACCAAGGGAAGACTTCGGCCACCAGCTCACAAGGAAATGAGGCCTCAATCCAAGAGCCCATGGGGAACTGAATCCTGCCAACAACCACATGAGCGACGTAGGAAGTGGATCCTTCCCAGTGATGCCTTCAGGTGACTGCAGCCCATGAGACACCCTGAAGCAGAGGACCCAGTGAAGCCACACCCAGATTCCTGACCTACAGAAACTGACAAATCCTAAATGTTGTTTCAAGCACTAAGTATTGGTGTGATTTGTTACACAGCAAGAGATAACTAACACAACACCATTTCTTAAATGGGTAATAATTAAAAATGTTTGTTTAATTTCTAATCTGGGAAATATTAGATATAACCCACATCAGCAAAAGCTTCTTGGGGTTCTCAATAATTTTCAAGTGTGCAAAAGATCCTGAAACCAAAAAGTTTGACACCTGCTGTCCTGGAACAAGGGAGACAGGAAGGCCAGCTCAGTCAAACCAAGGTCTGAGAGGGGTCCTTATGTTGGCCCCTATAACCAACCAAATCCATTTCTAGAGAATGTGCCCTGGGGCCAGGTGGGAGGACAGGAGAGAGTGCCATTTCCTGTGGCTCCTTCAGAAACCTCTCCAACAGTACTTGATGTACTTCCTAATTTAATCCCCAGAACCATCTTACGGGCAGGTATGATGAACAAACCACCTCAGTGTTAAGTTAATGTTAAGTAATTTGCCCATGGTCGTAGGACTTGGAAAGCAGAGATTGAATTCTTATCTTTCTCTGTAACATTCCAGAGAGTATGTTCTTCCAGGGTTAGATTAAAAGTAAGTGTAGTGATGGTCACACAACTCTGTGGATCGTACACTTTAGGTGGATGAATTATATGGTATGTGCGTTATACCTCAATAAAGCTGTTATCCAAAAAAATTAATAAATGAATATACGAGTGAAGTGAGAGCAATGACAGAGTTCTGAGGAGGGATAAAATGGAAGCAAGATAAATTCTAGGAGTTGTCCCAACTCCTAACTTATGGCAGCCGAAGGCTCCATAAACACTGATGCAGTACGTGTGAGGACAGGGGAGCACAGAGGCATTAAAAGGTAAATGAGAAAAAGTGAGGGGCAAACTAATGCTGAAGTTAGGGTGAGAGAACCTGATTTCCCTCACTGGTGAAGCAGCCAAGAATGAGTACAGGTCTGGTAAAGGTCTAGTTAGGACACAGCCTCTTTGGCCTCATGATCTCTTACAGTAAAAGGTGCTACTATCTATAGTGGCAGGTACTAACATCCGTATCAGACTGCACATTATTTGCCTTTTCTAATGAGTATGATGTCATTAGATTTCACATTTAGCTTCTACGGCTATGGTAGAGGACTCCATGATTTGCAAAATTACTCCTAGCTCTAAAATTAAAATTCAGTGATCAATCTGAGAAATACCTGTATTCACCTAAACACCTAGGCAGCAAAAACGGATCAGGAAATCTGAAGATTTAACACCAAAAACTACTAAAATATGTGTGGGGCTAACCTATTTTGCAGTGGGGCAGGAGCTGGGTCACACAATTAGCATCAAGCCACAGGCTCCTAAGATGTAAAATGGTCCCCTACTCTTATGGGTTACCTATACCTAAATGGAATATCCCCGTCCTAGTTTTATGAAGTCACCCTCCAGCAGTTCCATGTGAATCGATCATGATGCATCTCTGAAACATAAAGCCTTCTCTTTTTAACTTGTCCTACTTAGCCAGACCACTTCAGCTCTTTGTTAGTATCATGTCAGGTGAACTTTAAGACAAGTTTTTAAAAAGGGTCTCTCTAAACCTTCTCTACCTTTTTCAATTTGTCCAAATTATACTTGGAGGTACCTTTGCAGGGAGTTACAGCACATCTCCTAAATCATTAATCTTTTTTTTGATATCGTTAATGTACAATTACTTGAACATTATGGTTATTAGACTCTCCCTATTATCAAGTCCCCCTCCACATACCGCATTACAGTCACTGTCCATCAGCATAGTAAGATGCTATAGAATCATTATTTGTCTTCTCTGTATATACTGCCTTCCCCATGTTCCCACCCCCTACATTATGTGTGCTAATCGTAATGCCCCATTTTCCCCCTTATCCCTCCCTTCCCACCCATCCTCCCCAGTCCCTTTCCCTTTGGTAAGTTAGTCCATTCTTGAGTTCTGTGAGTCTGCTGCTGATTTGTTCCTTCAGTTTTTGCTTTGTTCTTATGTTCCACAGATGAGTGAAATCATTTGGTACTTGTCTTTCTCCGCCTGGCTTATTTCACTGAGCATAATACCCTCTAGCTCCATCCATGTTGTTGCAAATGGTACGACTGTTTTCTTCTTATGGCTGAATAATATTCCATTGTGTATATGTACCACATCTTCTTTATCCATTCATCTACTGATGGACACTTAGGTTGCTTCCATTTCTTGGCTATTGTAAATAGTGCTGGAGTTGCATATGTCTTTTTCACTAAATCATTTATCTTAAGGTCAACCTAGGGCCTAAGTGAATGGAACAGAAGATATTAAACCTGTAAGCTCCAAACTCCCCCAATTCCTAGATTACAATAACTTTGCTATACCTACAATGGCCCAACCCCACTATTCACAATTTGTCTTCATTTAGCAAAAACTATTATTTGTTTTATCTACTAGCAAGTTTTGCTCACATTCAAGAGGGAGTACATATCCTCAAGAAATATGTTAAAGAACACAAGACACCTGGGATATGAGTAACAGCTTTGGTGCCCAAAGAGCGTGCCCTTTGAATATACCACTTACTACTTTCTATGTGGCCATGGGGAGCATGGGAAGGTCAACCTTTCAGTTTCCTTATCTGTAAACTACGGCTGTACACCTACCATCTAGTTATAAAAAGATTAGAGATTAATGAAAATCAATTACTACCATGCAGCAGAACTGTTATAATATCTGAACAAGGATAGGATATATTTGAAAATTATACAAAGTAACTGTATCCTCACTTTAATACAGCCCACATGTCAATCCAAAAAATCCTTAAAGAAATGTGCATCTAAGCTACTGGTACATCTTCCTTTTCAAACTATTCTACTTTGACCTTTCTGAAAAGAGAGAAAGAAGAAAAGTGAGCAAGTAGTGGTTTAGCAACATTACTTGTGGTAGACTACAGAGTGGGAAGTTAGGGATAGTGGGAGTCATTCCAGGGACATTTTGGAAATTTAACTGAATGCAATCAACACCTTGAGCAATAAATGCCAATAGTGTTATTTTGATAGCATAAGAGAACACTGCTCATGTTATGTGTCTTTTGCCTCAAATAATAAAATTTCAGTAATTATAAATACCAAGAGAATTTCAAGTAGGAAATAAACTGAATCATAAAAACATACTTATGGGATTCAAACCCTTTAAGGGTCACCTCATCTGTTTTAATCTGCTTTTAGAAATACCCACTTGGGAAAATTTTAAACATAGCTAATTCTCCATGTTGATGAACACTATATAAAGTATGTACACTACTTTACACATTTTAAATACTGTTACATCCATTAATTAAAAGTTACTAATAATCATGTTAGAACCAATCCTACATAATCATGTCGGGAACTGCAGGGGTTGGAAGGGGAGGAAGAGGCAAAGGATTTCGTGGAGATACCAGGTTAGAACTCACTAGGTGTGATATGTTATAAGAAATACGTATTTGGTCATTCATATGACCAAATACGTATTTCCCAGGTATACTGGTCTTCATCCAGTTCCTGAAAACACTGCAGTCTTAAAAGTGGAACAGGTGTTTTGTCATGGTAATGAGCTATTTGGACCCCCATGCAAGGGTGGGAAGGCGGGGTGTAGAGGTGTATCAGCCAATGGCCAATAATTTAGTCAATCATGACTATGCAATGAAGCCCTCACAAAAATGCTGGAGAAGAGCTCGCTGTGTTCTGCCTGCTCTGCTCAGTTGGATCCTGCTTCTTGGTTGGAGAGAGCTTCTATGCTTGGGGAACCAGATGCCTCCATGTGCCACCAAGCCAGGCCCCAAGCTCCACAAGGAAAGAAGCTCCTTTATTTGGGACCTTGCCCTATGTCTCTCTTCATCTGACCGCTAACTTGTTTCCTTTATAATATCCTTTATCAAACTGGTAAACGTGTTTTTCTGAGTTCTGTGAGCCGCTCTAGCAAATTAATTGAACATAAAGGGGAGGTCATGGGAACCTCCAATCTGTAGCCAGTTGGTCAGAAGCATGGGTAACTGCCTGGGGCTTGTGAAAGGCGTCTGGAGTTGGGGGGTAGAGGACAGTATTATTGTAGGACGGAACCCTTAACCTGGGAATCTGGTGCTGTCTCCAGGCAGATAGCAACAGAACTGAGTTCTCCGATACCCTGCTGGTGTTCGAGAATTTCTAAGTATGTGTGGGAAGACCCCCTCCCACATATTTACACACACTGGAATCGGGTCCGGGTACCCGAATGAAGTCATACTATTACTGCTGTGTATAATATTGTTATTGTCATACATATATGTAGGGGAAAAATTCACCATTGAATTTGGTGTTGGACATGTGGGAATTGCACCAGGCAAGCAGAGGGCACCCATGTACTCAGGTTCATCAGTTGCACTACTGATTACACAATTATATACCACTCTATGCCAACTTCATCGTTAGCAATGGTATTTAAGCAATTTTTTTTTTTGGCCTGGGCCTCAGATGCCTTATCTGTATACCTGGGGATACTACCTACTCTGCAGAAGTAAGGAGGTATTAGAATCCAAGTATGTTTTAAGTGCCTGGCACAGTGCAGGAACAACGAGAACTCCAATTTCTTTCCTCTGAAACACAACTCCCTGAAAAGTGTAAAATCTGAACAGCATACTTAATGAAAAATCCATCAGTGAAGAATCCCACACAAAAGCAAAATCACACACACCTTATTTATCGCATCTCTATTTGACCTACACATTCCTAAGTAAAACTACTGTAGTCAAGACCAATATAAATGACACACAAAGTAACACATAAAACACCTTCCAGTGACATAATAAATAAAGGTGGCATATTATGATCAAAAAACATACTACTAGAGAAATGTGCTGTATCTGGGCTGCTCTCATTACTGCTTTGCCTGCTTAGTTCCCCATGAAAATGAAATTTACCAAAGCTTGATGACAGCCAACAATACTTTGACTCTTATTACTTAAATCTTTGTGCCAGAACAGTGGAAATTCATCTACTCTGCAAATGGGAAGAAAAACAAGATAATGAAATATTTTCTTTCTACCCTATACTCTTGTCCTGCTCTGACCTGATTTCTTATTATTTCTTCAAAGAGAAATTCTAGGAAGAGTGAAGGAAGAAAACAAGAGTTGGAAATGGATTTATAAAATTAATAGCACCTTAAAGCAAGAGGAATGGATCCTTCCTCTTGCTCCCACCAAATCAAGTAAAATTCTACATGCCTGGTATTGTGCTAAATGTTCCCATCAGCTCTTATTCTTCACCCACATGGTAGGTATTAGCATCACCCTCACTTTACAGATGATGTAGTGAGGCTTAGAAAGATTGAGTATCTTGCCCAAGGTTGCACAGCTAGTAAGTAAGTGGCAGAGAGCCAAGAGTCTTGACTTCAAAATCCACACTATTTACCTACTACTACACTACTTATTATTGTAGTGTAGATGAAAGGGTATTGGGTTCCAGACTCAGCTTCAACCCTTAGGCAAAACACTTGACCCTGCTGAACAGTTTGTCACCTGTAAATGAGGGCAATGTCAGCTGCCCATCCTTCTCCATAGCAGCAAGTAATGCTGAAAGAGTTAATGTACGTGCAGATACACTGTAAAAACTAGAGGGCGGTATATGTAATATTTTGTTAATATGAAGCCTAGGTTCCATATATCTTTATCCTTCCAAATGGTTTATTGACCTAAAAATAAGTTAAACAGTAGTTAAATAATTTTTAACATTCCCAAATAGAAATCTAGTTTTAAAAAAGCAAAAACATAAAAACCTCAGACATTCTGGAGAAGGCAAAACTATAGAGACAGTAAAAAGATCTGTGGTAGCAGCAGTTTGAGGGAAGGGAGAGTGGGATAAACAGGGAGTTTTTAGGGCAATGAAACTACCATCTCTGATATTGTAATGGTGGATTATAAGCCATTATACATCTGTCAGAACTGTTAGAACGTACACCAGGAATGAACCCTAATGTAAGTTACAGACTTTAGTTAGTAATATCAATATTGGCTCATTAGTTCTAACAAATGCACCACAGTAATGCAAGATGTAAATAATAGGGGAATGGGTGGTGTGGGGGTGGGATATATGGGAACTCTGTAATTTATGTTCATTTGTTCTGTAATCCTAAAACTGCTCCAAAGAAAAGTTTAGTAATTTTTCAAACTCAATCCTATAAAACTAATTCTACATAGGGATTTAAGAAGTCATATGACTGAACTTGGTGATCTAAAAAATGCCTGAATACTTGACAATGTATATCCCATCTTTTCAGACCAATGTTGTCCAACAGAACTTTATGCAATGATAGAAACATTCTAGATCTGCTCTAATACAACAGCCACTAGCCACACTGGCTACTGAACACTTGAAGTGTAGCTAGTATGAGCGAGGAATGGAATTTTTTTATTTTACTTAATTTAAATTAATATTTAAATAGCCATGTACAGCTTGTGACTATCACATTAGCACAGTTCAAGACAATTCAAGAGACCTCTAGAAATGTACTGTTAAGGGTTAACTTTAGAAGAAAAAGCTATCAGGAGACCAAATTTATACAGTTTTGAACCAATGTTAGAATTAATTGAGGTCAAGAATAATTAAGTAGATGTTTAAAACAGCCAGGAACCAACAAGGGCCCATCTCCACTGTTTCACTTTAAGTGTCATAATGTAACCCAATAGTACAACAGTCACTTCTCCCTTCATTCCTTCAATGTTTTCAAACAATTCACTTAAACATCTTGTCTAATTCCTGAAAAACAGAGCACGGCTCACGTTAGAATTAGGAATATTTTTTCAAGTCAGTGACCCAGAGGAAATGAAAAATTAAGGGTAATGAGAAAGAGCTTAAAAGTGATTTTTGCAGACAAATCCAACTTTTCAAAATGAAAATTCAAAAACTAATATTTAACTGTGGATTTCAATTCCATGTCACAGTCAATCATAAATCAAAGGGAAAAAAGATGTCCAGAAAAGCAAGAGCAAAAGAGAAAAAAAGGTGCACAAGGTAAGCAAACAAAAATGAGCCAGTACAGACACACACGACTATTCATATCCAGCTGGTAACCGGAGCCTGCCTCAAAGGGTCATTACCTCTTATCCTGGTTGGTTTAAAATGCCAGTTGATTAAACCTCAACTCCTAATTCACTTTTTGTCTTTATCCCAGCGGCATAAAAGGGAACTTATGTCCTCAATTGCAGTGGCTTTTTATCAGAGTCCTCCCCTGGGGGACCTATGAAATCAAACACAGATTGGCTCCCCACCCTCAGGGAGTAAGTGAGGTGTCCAAAGTGACAGTGTTGAATCCCTAGGGCACATTTGGTCCACAGCTTCCTTTTCAACCCTTCGAGTACTGGGTCTTTTAGAGTACAAAAGCGAGAGAAAAGGAGGTAACTGAGAAGTAGTAACACCCTCATGCAGAAAGACAGGAAAATACCTGACCTTAGAAATAGGCCCCAAAAGCCAATTCTTGACACGGTGCTCAGATGTAAACCTAACCTTTGTTCTACCTTTTCAGGTTCCTGAATCGCATTAAAAAAATATTATTTTGTAATTTCATACGGGAGTGATTTTTAAGAGTACTCATATGCATAATTAAGTAGTATTAAATAGCCTTCAGTGATCAAGCAGGACTTCCAATAAGTTGAACGTTTCAATCTGTTCAAATGAAAGTAAAAGGAGACAGTTTTCATCTTTCCAGCCCCTTTTCCCGCAGTTCTCCATTCCTGGGTCCTAAAAGCCCTGTACCCGACCCCGTTGTGCAATCCTTTCCGAACTCCACCCACTGACTCCAGAACAAGTGGAATTCTCCCATTCGGAAGGTCTCGATTTTCCTGTATCCAAGGAGACACTGCAAACTCGACGTGAGTCAAGTAAGGCAAGGGGAACGGTCCAGCTTGTCTCCCAGATTAAGAGAAAGAGACCAAAGGCCAGAGGGGGAGGCGCTCAAGTTTCCGCTCACCAAAAAAAAAAAAAAGGAAGGAAAGGGGGAAATAAAGAGTAAGGAGTGGGGAGAACTGGATTGGGAAGACCGGCTATCAAGTGATGCTGCTCCCAACGCTGCGGGACGCAGGTCCTCTCCAGCATCGCCTCCCCATTCCCGGCCCCATGTGCAGCCGGGCCCGTGGCACCCAGAGACCAGCCCCAGGGGCCGAGCAGCCCCTCCAGTAGCAGGGAGCGCGGGGCCGGGGGGGGGGGGCAGAGAAAGGGGGGCGCAGCGTAACCCCGGCTCCCGCGCAATTTTCTTACTGCGCAACAACCTTGCCCGCGCCACCCGGGCGCCCCCTGCGCACCTGCCCGGCGCGAGCAGAGCCAGGCGGTTGACCCCAGGCAGCCCCCCGGCGGCGGCGCCCAGCGGAGGGAGCATCGAGGAGCACACGGAGGGTGTAGGCTGGAAGAGAGAACACCTGGCGCCTGGGGCTCCGCGGCGCCGGCCGCACGTGGCTGTCACACCCGGCGCGCCCCCGCCGCGCACCCCTTCCCCCTCACGGCAGGCTGCGCCCCCAGCCCTCTCGCTCCCCCGTCCGCCACGAACCCGCAAACCACAACCTGTGTCCCCTCTCACCTCATTCATCCCGGTCCCACTCTTCCCCACCTGCTCCCACTGTCGTCACCCCCCGGAGGAAAGAGGGCCGGATGTTCGTCCCATGGCTAAAGGTAAACGGGGAGAGTGAAGAGGTGGATCCCGAAAAAGCGAGCCCGAGCATTCTCCCAGCGCGGCACCAACGGGGGCGCCACCAACACTGACCTTCTGCCGCGGGCTGCGTCGCCGTCCGCCCGGTCCGGCCTCAATCGCCTCCTCGGCGCCGCCGCCTCTTCCCCGCGCTGCCTCCTCTACCCGCGTCGCCATGAGGTGACGGTAGCAGCCAAACAAGCAGCCCGACGAGGGGCACTGAACCTCGCTCGGCCTCGCGCCCCGCCCCTGAACCCCCAGGACCAATCGCAACACGCAAGATTTCCCACGTGACCGGAGGAGGTTGGTACCCGAAGGGATGGAGCGGAATGGGGGTGGGGAGCATTGAAACCAGGGCTGGGCTTCTGCGGGGCCGAAGGGCAAACCTAGGCCGCGCGTGCCTGCGCGGACAGGAAAGGGAGTCTGGAGCCGACTACAAGCCCCAGCAGACTGCGCGGCTACCGCTCGCCGGCGCGGATCGGGTGGCCCTGTAATGCGGCACTCCTGGACGGGGAGAGCAGCCACTGTGCCGCGCGTGCAGCCTACTGGGGCTTGTAGTTTTCTGCGGGCGATGTACAGATACCGGAAGGTACTCTGTTATCCTGTGGGAAAAGTTCAGAACTATTGCAGTGTTTGGGAAGGAGCGAGATTCGGGATACGTTGCGTTTTTGCTTTTGATGCTCTTCTTCGGTATTGAGTCCGAATGATTTGGGGCTGAGGGGAAATACTTCTTGATTTTCAGGCAGGAGAGATGTAATTAATGACTTTCAGAAATTGAGGTTTCTGGCGGGACACCTGCCCCTCCACCAGAGCTCTCTGCACCGTTTTACCTGTCCCGAGCTTCAGCTGGATGAGGGCTGCATCCTATTACCTTGTCTGTACCGCCCCGTCTTCTAGCACAGTTCTCCGCATTTAGTTGGCGCTTAATACATGTCGAATATTTTGCTTTCTCCGCCAGTCGTTACGTTACTGAATTTTTTTTAGCAAACTCTTTCGTTGAATCGATTTTTTTCTTGACGTGACTAGAGCGGAGGGTGGAGTTTTCTTCAGAAATATTCCACTATTTCCATCTGATGGAACGAGATCGCCAATGACCGACCCTCTGAAAGTCATAGACCGTCATGAAATCCTGTCATATTAAATAACTCATGAAAATTTGTGCAAATTCTATACCATTTTTTATTAGAGATGAAGACTGAACAGCCATAACGGACGCCAAAAATGTAATAACATACATGAGAATAAAATATCAATTTGGGGGAAATTCCATCTATTAGTTTTAACTATAGGTGTAAATTAGGGTAAAGTGCTATAATGTTATTTCATGGTCAGAACACCTCAGTCTGGCTTTCAGATTTCAAAACTAGAGCAGTAGATAATTAACCCACACCCAGGTTCTATACAAAGCTAATGCCTCACCTTCTTAAAGTCAAAAGTCCCAGCAAGATGCAGAATCTATCAGTAATGCTTCTAACCCATCCAGGGACTTGAGTGTTAAAATGCACCATAATTAAATTATGGTACAATAGAACATCATATAGCTACTAAAAATGATTAACATTTTTTAAATTGATCTAAAAATGTACATACATAGTGAGCTTTAAAAAATATCCATTTATATAGAATTGCCTGTATATGTTTATAAACAGATGTTTAGAAGGATATTAATCAAAATGTTAATAATGTTTTTTCCTGGGTGATGAGATTTGGAAGTATTTTTACTTCATGATTTTCTGTATTTGAGTATAAGTATGTATGGAACAAAAAAATCACTAGTTATCTTTATTAAAAAAACAAAAGAACCTCAAGTCTTACGAGAAATGAAAAATATTTAGTTGTATTAATTTTATTTATATGTGTTTTTATCTCAGAAGGGATAGGGATTTGGGTGACTTGTAAACATATACACAATATGCCACAACATATATACATACACACACACACACGCACACACACATATACATACATTCATAGAGGGGGGTGGGGATAATAATAAAACGAAAGTGAAAGAAGGATAGGAAAAATAAGATGAAGTCCGGGGTGAGTTGAATCTATAAAACACATGCCTTAAGGTCTTGTACTCAAGCTGCAGGTGAACTACATTTTTATTTTGAGCTTCTTGACAGCTGAGAAAAGGAGAAAACACAATTTACAGTGATCCACACTATTACAAAATTTTTAAAAACTGGTTATACCAGAGAAACATGGCTATTTCTGCTCCTGCAAGAAATAGAAATTTTAGAGGTATGATACTTATAACACCTTTAATGTAGTTGATGGTGGTTTTAAATTTGTTCACAAGTTATTTGATGCAACTCTCTTCTAAAGGTGGAGTCCAATTCCCCTCTTCTTGAGTGTGGGCCAGGCTGTTTTTGGCTTCTAAGACACACAGCATAGAAGTGACAAGTAGCTGGCAATGCTTGTGGGAAAAAGAATAGCTTCTGCCTGGCCCTCTGGGTCTTAGATCACTGTTCTTCCTAGGGTCAGACTAACTTGATTGCTGACAGACCCATTCTTTATTTAGATCTTAATCTTAAATGCCTGCAAAGAGGTCACTGTCAAGCCTAAGCTCCGGACTCTGTAAAGCACTGCTTATCTCTGCTGGGATTCATTGTTGGGGTTACATTTTAGGTCTTCAAGGGTTATCATTTCTTTATTTCCAAGTCTTTAAAGGACACCCAGTGTTCTGTCTACACTAATTATTCTCACATTTGCTCAAGAAATTATTGTCTCTGTTATGGACCGTGCCTCCCGGGAAGGTGAAGGTCACAAGAGAAACAGCTCCTCATTGGGTATTGGGTATTCTCCCCAGGCTCCCTAAGGGCTATCCAACATAACCTGAATAAGGGCCCATTTATTCAGACGTTTATTAAACAGCTACGAGCCTGAGATACAAAACAGTTCTTATGAACAGTGAGTTCAATGATGTCTCAGCTCTCTGTCCTTTTACATGCTCCAATAATCATTTTGTGTGAAATGCAAAGGCACACAGGCAGACTCACCACTAATACAGAGGGAGGACTCTGTTTTGGTCCTATTAGCCAGTATCAGAGAACTGAAACTCTCAGAGTTCATAGTTGGACACAGGAACATTTAGAAGTTTAGCCTATAGTATTATCCCAAAGGGAACAGACTTCAGACCTGCTAGGTTCTTACATTCTGTTGGTGTAAGAGAGTCTCACATATTTTAAACAATGCATATATCTTGAATATTACATACCTTGATTTTTATTTTGCCAATGCAAGCCCATTTCTATCATCCATTATAGTGGCTAAAGAGCTACTTATTTCACCAGCGAAAAACATTTTCTAACCTTCGTTCTATTCCTTAGCAAAGCCTCTGGTCATAGACAGAAGCATTTGGTAGTAGGTAGAAGATAGACTGTGGACTCCCTGATTAATATAGCTGACCACTCCTGGTGTGTGAAAGTTCTGAGTGAAGTCTTCTCCAGCCCTTAATTTAATACAACACACACACACACACACACACACACACACACACACACACACAGGCTACTACTATTACTATTACTATACTGTTTTTGCTTACAGTAAATTACAGAACTTACCATAGAAGTATCCTACCTATACTATGATCAAAGGCACTGACATATCTAAAGAAGCAGTCTATCAGAAGAGTAGAAACCTAAAAAAGGGAGAGTCAGGGAGCCCAGGTTGGGAGAGCCCATCCAAGCAAAGTTTTGGACAAAGAAAATCTTGGTCAAAAAAGAGAACTTCAAAAATAATGGCCCTATTTGCAAGGCTATCCCTAGTGTGGGGATGGAGGTTCCACCATCCTAATCTAATGCCTTTGGACAGGGAGAATTGTTTCGATTTCTTACCAAACAACCTTCCCATTATAATCTGGCTCCCTATGCAGGCTTTACTACAAAGCAAGATTGTAGGTATGTGCCCATTTCCATTTGGTGAGCCACTTCTATTGCTCATTGTTAACAAAGGGACATCTTGACTTTGTAAATCAGACCTGAGACCTGTACTCTGGATAGAATGTATTCTGGGTGGTCCCTCCAGGAAGCCCCTCTGGCACCCAGAGTGTCTTAGGTGCACTGTTATGCATCCCTAGCAGGCTGTACTTCCGATCCCAGGTCAATCCCATTGTTCGTGTAAGAACAGTTCGCTCTTTTCCCCAGCCAGGTGGCAAACGAAGTGAGAGAAGGGGACCATGCCTGTGGAACTCCTGTATTTCCAGTGTCCAGAATAATGCCAAACTCAGAGAAAGCTCTCAATATATACTTATTGAGAAAAAGAGCCTCTGAACAGATAAAATGCACTGATCACTAATTTTCTGAACCTGTACAGACAAAGGCCAAACCTTCAGTTTTCCAAAATGATATCTTTTTGTGCTGCCTCTTGGAGAATGTCATGGTGGTGATATCCCTCTGTAACCCGAAGACCTCAGGCAGCCACAGGACCAAGATCACCCCAGGATAAACTTGGTGGCAACAGAAAGTTTTCATTCATCAATCAAACATTTTCTAGCACCGATATTCTGAGCACTTTATTAGGCATTGGGCATACTGCAATTTAGAATAAGGGCTCCCAGGCCAATACTGGCCAGTGATATACACAACAAATAACGTGATTTATAAGATAGAGGTATTGCAAAATAACTTCTTAAGGGCTATTTTCTACTGGTGGTGGAAAGGTCTAAGGAATGTTTAAGGTGACATCTGAGCTGTGTTTTGAAGCGTCAGTAAGAGTTAAATTTACCATGCTAGTTTGACTTGTCTACTTCAGAGTATTTTCAGAGAAAGAAAAGCTCCTACTAACCTTTAAAGCAGCCAAGATTCTTATTTCATCAAAAGACTTAGATTTCATGTTTATTGGATATTATTGGGGTTGTAGGTAGGGAAAAGGAGTGTTCACCTTTTCATAGAACAAATAGCTTATTGTTAAATTCAATTACCCAATACCATCCTTCTGAGCTAACCCTGACTTTAGCCCTTATAGGAATTTGGCCAATTTCAGCATTTGCTATACGCTTCCACATTTCTGGCAGACACTAAAAGATTTAGAAAATGATTATACCCAGATTGCTCAAGCATA